CTACTAATTTAGCTATTGTTTGATATGCTATAGAGGCTTGAGGTAAGTTCCATCTTATCTCGCTATCCCGCTATTTTTTTTTTTTTGGTTCAAGAGATAACTATTATATTAAGTTAAAGTAGAGTAGTACAAGGAGCGTTTGAAAGCATAGAAACTAACCTAAGGGGGCGACCTAGTGATGGGTAGTTACAAAAGGGGGATCTGAGGAAATTACTACTACTATTAATATCCATACTTCGCAAAATGCAAAAAGGTTGGCTAAGAGGATTTTGTGAACAGGTTGTGTGCTGGAGAACTAGTTGTGTAACCCTTCTAACAAAAAGTGTGCCTAAGTGATCATCCTCCAAAGCTGGTTGTACAAAAGGCGGGGGTTGAGTAAAAACAATGATGCCATCAGTGTTATCCATATGGTTGTCATACTTTGCTAGCAAGTCAGCTATTTGGTTTTGCTCCCTATATATATAAAGTATGATAGGATCATCCGGTTGCTCGAGCAAAAACCTGCAATCATGTATAAGATTAGCATAAAAAGGATGCGAGGTTTGTAATATATTAATTTATGTTTGAGATTCTAGGTTCACTTCGAGAGGTTTGTATCCGTGATTATAAGCCAATTGCAATCCATGATATAGCGCACATAGTTTAGTTTCAACACTCCCATGAGAGATGTGATGTCCTGAAAAGCCGATGGGCCAGTTACCCATGGAGTCATGTAGGACACCGCCAATCCCGCCCTGACTAGTAACCATCATTGTTAAGTTTGAAATGAGTAGCACCGGGGGGGAGGGGGGTGCTATTGAAGTTGTGTGGGTATACGACTATGTGAGGACGGCGGTAAAACAACAATATGGGAGAATTCAACCACCATGTTAAGGATATGAGAGGAAGAATGCAGTTTTGTAGGTGAGCGAAAAATAATGGCATTTTGAGCAAACCAAATATGCAGAGACATAACGGTATGAGAATGGAATTAGGGATATTCAGGAAATTTGGAACATCAGTGTGTAAGATAAATTGTTGTAGCCATTGAAGAGGAGAGTCGTCAAGCGCCTAGAGTCCAGCATGTTTCAGAAGCATTTGTAGATCAACCCAAGTTGGTGTGTTTGCGGGACATTCTAGAAGGAAATGTTCAATAGTTTCTATACTAGTGCGACATCGGGCAAGAACATCTGTGTTTAGTATGACGAGATGATAATAATATGCACCAGAGGGAGGCAATGATGGTTGTAGAGCCAGAGGAAATATTTAATTTTGGGAGGTAACTGAAGTTTTCAGATCCATGTGAAAAAGTATCTAGAGAGGGGCGGAAGTAAATGGTGGTAGAGTGATTTGGTGGTTCATGAGGGCCCAAGCGTATGAGTCTGGGGAATGTGTGTAGGAATGGATATGTATACTAAGAATATTTTGGAGTAGTGGAGTCGATAGTTCGAAGGGGAGGGATGTAAAATCCCAATGACCATGGGATAAATAGGTAGAGACAGTATTGGTATATGCATTATGAAGAAGGGGCTCAATTAAGGAGTTGTGAATGGGCGTATTGGAAGGTATTCAAGAGTCTGTCCAAACGTTAATAAGAGTTTCGTTATCCAGGATCCATTGTATTCCTTGTTGATAAAGGTGACGGCCAGTAATAAGGTTTGCCCAAATGAAAGAGCCACCGGTGGTTGCATTACGTCTATGATAGAAATATTTATGTAGGAGTGTGGCAGCCCATAATGAAGTTGGCTGATTGAGTAATCTCCAAGCTTGCAAGGTCTCATTTTTTAGTTGGAGTTGTTGGATGTCCAGGCCCCCATATTGCTACGGGATAGTCATTGTGCTCCATTTGTGAAAATGAATTTTTTTTCTTATTGGAAGTTGTCCCCCACTAAAAGTTACGCTGGTACCTTTCTAGGTGATGAATGATAGATTGAGGAATTTTTATATATTGCATTATGTAATTTGGTAAGCTGTTAAGGGTGGAGTGAATGAGAGTGGTGTGATTGGCTATACTAAGGAAGTTTGTTTTCCAACTGACAAGCTTTGTCTTAAAGTTGTCAAGAAGAGATTGAAAATCTCATTTTGGTGGTCGGAATGTGAAGATGGGAGAGTTGAGGTATTTTTCCGGGGGAGTTCCTTCAGGAATGGAGATGGAGGTAAGAATTTTTTTTTTTTATCTCAAGTGGTGCAATTTTTAGAGAAAAAGTTTTTTGACTTTTGAAATTAATCTTTTGGCCCAATAGGTTGAATTCATTAAGCTTATCAATGATGCCATGATAATTATTGGCTAAAGTAGTAGATGTAAGATCAATATTGTTCGCGAAAAATAGATGAGAGAGTGGTGGTCCATGTCGATATAAACGAATAAGATGCCATACTTGATAATCTACTATCATATCAATTTTTTTGTAAGTAATTCCATACATAGTATAAATAAGTATGGTGATAAAGGATCTTCCTAGAGAATTCCACATGCGCGAGTAAAAAAAGAAGTGGGAGAACCATTTATAACGATTGATGTGGAGGTAGTGGTGATACAAGACATGATAAGATTGATGAGTGGGGGAGGAAATTGAAAGTATTGGAACAAAAGATTATTCTATATGATCATATGTCTTTCAAGGTCCAGTTTTTGAAACATGTAGCTAGTCTTAGCCTATTTATCTCTAAAAATGCTTAGAAAGCAGCATCTACAATCTGAGTCTTCCTACTGGCAATCTGGCATCAATATACAATTTATTATTTCCTGCGTAAGGAGGAGATCAAGTTATTAGTTTAGCTTTTTTAGATATAGAGATTTGTTTAGGGAACACTTCAACAATTTCCCTAGCATATATGAAGGATCCTCCATGAATCTTATTTTATAAGATGATTATATTCCATAATTTGCTTAGACTTTAAATATGTCAATAATATGTGAATAATCTTCCTTATTATCATCATATAATTTCGTATTTTGGTGATTAATTATCTTATAGGTGAGTCTAAGCTTTCTTAATATAAGTTTATGATGTTGAAATGGAAAATCGAATATTTTATCTTATATATTGTCCAACTTCTATCATTTGGAAGAATGACATCTGTTAGGATCGAAAATAACAAGGTTGTCATGTGGAAGCTAATAAAGAAAATCTTGAATATGATAAACTAGACGACAAAAAAGAAAATATACTATAAAAGAATATTATGACAAGGTTTGGTCAATTGACCAGCATATTAGAAAACTAATATAAAAGAAAATAAAAAAGCTATTGAGAGAAAAGACTCCTCCTAAATAAGACCCTTTCAAGGATTATATTGTGGATATTATTGTGTTGTTGTGTGAAGGAGGGATCCTCAATCTATAGAGGTCCAAAATCTTTTTTTTCAAGAATAAATATGTCAAATATGAAAAGAATATATATTATATTTTCCTTTTAAAAAAAGTAAATCAATTAAGATAAATATTTTACCATTTCTTCAAGTGACAAGTAAATCCAAATATGCAAAAAAAATCAGGGCAAACCCAATAATTCTCCCCTTTGGCCTAAATTTTCTTGACAGAATCTTGATCCACTTTCTTTACATAATCTTCATCGCTGCTGCTTGTCATGGTTAAGAATAGGGATGGGTTGAAAATTGAAGCCATGTGCGTTAAAGTAAGCACATGTTTAAATTTACTAGAGCCCTATATTAAAAGTGAACAAGATTAAAAGTAGAACCCATGCGTTAAAATTAAGAGCCCGTTTGGACATAAGAAATTTTTTCCTTTTTTTTCAATTTTTTTTACTTTTTTCCGAAATCAGCGTTTGTTCATAAAATTTTCAATTTTCACTTGAAGATGCATTTTGGAAATTTTCGAAAATTTGAAAAACTCAAAAAAATTGTTTTTCAAAATTTTCATTCAAATCATTCACATAACTTCAAACAACCCAAAATTATATTCATGGCCAACACACAACTCTAGATTTCAAATACCATTTTCACTTTAAAAAAATTTCCCCTCCTATTTTGGAATTTTACAATTCTTATATCCAAACGCCCACTAAGTATGCGTTAAAAATTGGAGCTCATGCGCTATAAGTAGGCAATATTTAAAAATTGAAGCTCATCCATTAAAAGTAAGCATGAGTTAAAAATTAGAGCTCATACGTTATATGTGAGCATGAGTTGAAAATACTTTTTATTTTTAAATATGAAAAAATGGGTTTGTTGGATATATGGTTGAAAATTTATTTTCACATGTAATATTCTGAATATTTTTTTTTTGTGAACTTTTTTCCCATTATCGTCAAATTGATTGCAACTTGATTTGAATCTGTCTTGAACATATCTTCACCTTGCTGATACCACTTATTGAGATCGAAAATAATAAGGCATTATATGAAGGTTGATAAAGCAAATTTTAAAGACGATAAAACAGACAACAAAAGAAAAAATATATTATAAGAGAATATTATGTTGTTGTTGTGTGAAGAAGATATTCTTAAGGGATTTTTTCTTTCCTATACCATATATGAAACTTTATTACCAAATATATGCATAGTTTCTAATTTACCCGTCATGTTCACACTATTTCTACAATTATTATACCATTCATTAAATATTACATAATTATTAGTAGTTGAATCTTCCTAATTAGGCGCGCTACAAATCAGGAACAGAATATTCTAATTGATTTAGCAACCTTCGGATAAAATTAGAAACGGAAATCCTTTATCTTCAATTTAAAATTAAATTACATAGACTCTTTTCTGCAAAAACTCTGTTCTTCGATATTTTTCCTTAAACCACAAATCAAAAAAAGACAAAATCGTCAACAAATTCGAATCAAATTGTAGAAATCAGTTCTGCAAAAAGCTCAGTTCGTTGACTTTTTTCCTCAGTCCACTGATCAAAAAAGCGACAAAATATTCAACAAATTCAAGTCAAATTGTAGAAATCAATTCTGCCAATACTCTGTTCTTCGTCTTTTTTTCTTAATCCAAAAAATCAAAAAAGCGACAAAATATTGAACAATACCTCAGCAACAACACGCAATCATGTCCAAAATCTCAATCATGCTACAATTAAATGGGAATTGGGATAACTATGGCAGATTTAGAGATTTTCAAGTTGATGTCATTGTGCTCGATGAGGATGCAAGTTACAGTATGTTGATTTCTACAATTGCAGAGCAATTAATGATTGATACTTCGGAAAAAATTGTAGAAATCAAATACATTGTGAATGAGAATTGTCCTACAATGGAGATTAGGACGATATTGGGGTTCGTGTGTATATGGAGACAAAAAAGGAGAATAAAAACTTAGGATCGTATCCGTTATTTATAAGTGTACGAGATTTCAATATGGAATTGACTATTACCAATGAGAACACAAGTGCAGGTTTGTTATGTTTCAAATTCTATGGAAGTCTGATTTTACGGTAATATCTATAAAATTCCTACATTTATCTACAAATAAACTACATATCAGTTTTAGGATGTATAAAGCAATATTGTTTTCATGATTACCTACAAAATTACTACATTTATACTACAATTAAACTACAATCTATGTTGAAAAAATGTTGACTACAAAATTTTTCTCTTCATCTACAATTTTTCTACAAAAATTCTACAAATATACTACAAATCAGTTTAAGTATGTATAAAGCAGTATTATTTGTAAGGGTATCTACATAATTACTACATTTCTACAATCTATGTGGAAAAAAATGTTGACTACAAAATTTTCTCTTCATCTACAATTTATCTACAAAGATTCTACAAAATTGTAATGACACTGTTTATCTTTATTTTCATCCAGGTTTGTCTGGGACAATAAAGTTACTTGATATGTCAGCCTCTCCCGTCATAGAGGAATATCAAAGTGAAATAATAACTGAAGGTACACAAAGTGTTATCGAAGAAGGACAAGTGTATCAAGACAAGCAAACAATTGCAACTGCAATGAAGTACTATTTTGTCATGCACAAGTACCAATTCATGGTTAAAAAATCTAGCCACACAAGGTATGAAGATATTAATGGTGAAAAGATCATTATAAACAGTATTTTCCTTGTGATATGTGTTTTTCAAACATTATAGATGAAAAGCAGTTATATTGTATAATGTGTTACTTTATGTTAAAACAGTCATTTTGTTACATCTACATTGATAACCTGTATTATAAATGTATTTTTTTTGTAGTTATTGGCTTATATGCGTTGGAGAAAACTGTAATTGGCACTTCAAGGCAACATCAATTAATGATTCTGCAATGTTCAAGATCAGGAGTTTCAACCGACAACACACATGCACCTTAATGGACGATACATTCATACAACGCAAACGTATTGCAGTTGTAGTTGGTAGCATGGTCATTCCAAAATATTGTGATCCTAAGACAGTTTATACGCCAAAGGACATACAAACTGACATGTTGTCCCAACACGGAGAGAACCTAAGCTACATGCAAGCATGGAGAGCAAAGGAAAAGGCTTTACAGTTTTTGAGAGGTCATCGGGCTGACTCCTACAGCAAATTACCAAAATATTTTTATATTCTTGAGAAGACGTATCCTGGTTCAGTTGTTAAATTGAAGAAGACAGCAGATGAATACTTCTTATATGCATTTGTTGCTCTTTGTACATCAATAAGTGGTTGGGAATATTGTAGACCAGTAGTAGTGGTTGATGGGACATTCTTAAAGTCAGCCTATTGGGAGATTATGCTGACAACAAGCACAATGGATGCAACAGGTAAAATTGTAGTTATTTTGTAAGCATTTTATAAATTGTAGATACTTTGTAGATATATTGTAGTTTATATGTATTTATGTTTTTATATGCATTTTTAAAGCTGCCAGTTAATTATTTTTTGACTAATAATGTAGGTACAATATTGCCTTTGGCATATGCTGTGGTTGATTCGGAAAACGACGCATCGTGGAAGTGATTTTTTGAGCAATTCAAGCAAGCATATGGTAAAAGAACTTCAATGTGTGTTGTTTCATATAGGAATGAGAGTATCCTGAAGGCAACATCAATTGTCTATCCGGGCGTGCCACACTACTCTTGCATGTGGCATATTTGGACAAATATAAGGGCAAAGTTCAAGAAGGGTCATCTACAATTAAATGAAATGTACTTTGCTACAACACGGTCATACACTCTAGATGAATTTAATGAAAGGATGTCGAAGATTGAAGAGATAGACTCGCGTGTTAAATCATACCTCTATGATATTAGCTATCATATATGGTCAAGAGTACATGCAACGGTGAATAGAACTTGGACTATGACATCAAACATTGTAGAGTCATTGAATGTTGTAACAAAAGATGCAAGAGAGCTGCTAAATTTGACCTATTAGAGTATATGAGGACACTTCTTGAACGTTGGACAAACGAGAAGTTATTGAAGGCAAAGGGTACTTTCACATTCCTTGGGTCCAAATTCAACAAAGAATTGGAGAACAACAGAACATTATCTCAGAAACTTAGGATAAGATATGTTTATTTTGTGCAGAAAAATAATATTTTAATATACAATATTTCCAGATTGTAGATAAATTGTAGACAAATCGTAGTTAATTTGTAGATTGTAGATAATTTGTAGATAATCTATTTTTATGATTGTAAATATTTTTCTTTCTATTTGTTATGTAATTGTAGGTGAGGGCTTCAACAAATCATATCCATACTGTGATAGATGGTGTGAAGCGGTACATTGTGTGTCTTGAAAGCAAGAAATGTAGTTGTGGCCAGTTCCAACTTGATGAACTTCCATGTGTGCATGCTTTGGCAGCTTTAAGGCACAGGAATGAAACTTATAAAAACTATTTCTCCCAGTATTACACAAAGGAGAGTCTACTGCGTACGTATGAAATACCAGCAAATCCCCTTCCTGATGAAAGCAAATGGAATGTGCCACAACATATATCTGATGAAGTAGTAAATCCACCTACGGGAGAGAAAGGGCAGCCAGGAAGACCTCAAGAGGAAAGATAGNAGAGAAAGGGCAGCCAGGAAGACCTCAAAAGGAAAGATACAAAACATATGATGAACTAAAGTCAAAGAAGTACAAGGTGTCATGTGACAACTGTGGAGGTGAAAGGCATAACAAAAGATCTTGCAAGAATGCGCCCAAAAAGAAATAAATATCATGTCGTTGTTGATACCCAATTTTTTCCTGTATTTTTATATGCAAAATGCCTTTCAAATAGCATGTACATGCATATATAAGTATACCCCAAGGCTATATTCTTTTCTTTTTCTTAATTTTTTAAAGATTTTTAAATCAATTTACTGCCCTATTTTATCAAGAAAAACCCAATAATTATCCCAAAATTATCATTTTGGTGATTCATTTATTGGAGTCTCATGTTTATATTAAATATAGCTAAGGTATTTTTTGCACATTTTTTACAAATTTATTTGGTATTTTAAATGATAGAATTGCATAATTGCAATATTAGCCTTTTTTAAGTTTAAATTCGTTTCATATGCATAAAATTAGATTATACTTTTAAATTGATAATTATGTATTATAAATCATTTCGATGCTTTCAATTTATTTCCAGAAATTAATTTACCATTTTTTTTAATTTTAAAAGGGAAAAGCTGGCTATTTAAATAATAGCCCAATCCGTTTCAATTTTAGCCTAAAATCTGACCCCTAATTGGACCCCAATTTCAGCCCAACTTCAATTAAAACCTGACCCAAGCCCAATCCTAAAACTACCTGACCCAACCTGGATCAAATCATGGCCATTGATCAATTTTGATCAACGGTCTAGATCCGCCCTTACCTTTTTTAACCGAACGACCCCCCCAATACCCCTCTCTTTCCTCACTCCTCTCTATCTCTCTACTTTTGGTTCTCTCTAGAACCTTCCCTCTCCTCTCCGATGAGTTCTGTTCATCTCCTCCGGCCACCTTCTAACCTAAATCTATGGTGGTTTCACCACCCGTCAAGCCACTTATGGCTCCTCAAGTTTGGTTAACTGAAGCTTCATGACTCGACCACGAAGATTTGGGTCCAGACCTATGTTGATTCAAGCTTTACAGCTATCTCCGTCCCTGCTCCGGCAAGCTATGTCTGTTTCGAGCCTGGTTACGACTCCTTCTGTTTAGATCGAAGCCTTTCTCACCGTTTGGGTTCCTCTAAAAACCCTAGCTTTGAGGTTTTTCTGATCTCTTTAGATCTGTTCCAGATCTACGCTTTCCCTAAGTTTTTAAATGATTTTCTGGATTTTTCTTTCAAAAACCATTTCTTTTTCCGATCTAGGGTTTTTCTGAGATATTTAGATGTTTTTCCGATTTTCTCTTTCTTTTGTGTGTTTCTTCTACTTTATTTTCCTCTACTGTGTTCTGGTGTGTTTTCTCTACTGTATTTTCCTCTATTATGTTCTTGAGTGTGTCTTATTATGTTTCCTACACTACGTTCTAGTTAAGTTTCTTCTAATATGTCTTAATGTGTTTCTCCTACTGTTCTTATCAATTTCTCTAGTATGTTTCGTATTAGTTTCTTTTACCATGTTTTCTTTGAACTCTTCTGCTATGTTTCGTAATCATGTTTCTCATGAGTTTTGTTGCTGAGAGTAACATGTCAAAGATTTCAGTTCTTTTCTGAGACCTCTAAACCTGTTTCGACTCAATTACTTGTCCTCTAATCTCTACATTCGACTAATGGTAGAAACCCTAGAATTTGGGGTTCGTCCTAGTTTGGAAACCATTGGCTATGTGATTTGCCTGAACTGGTTTTATTTCAAAAACCCTAAACTCTTTCAGACCGGTTTCGAGTCTCTGAATTGAGTTTTGAAATCCTTGTTTTTCATATGATTCTGACTTTTGCTTTACCCTGGATCTTTTGCTACTTCTCTTCTACATTGCTAACCTATGTGACAACCATGCTCTTGTAGCCTATTATCTACTGATTTTGCAATGACACGACATCTTCTTTCAGCTTAACATGTCTGTATGCTCTTTATATGTGATGAACTTCCCTCTAAAATGACTTTCAAATCGTGATTAGTTTCAGACTTCCTTCTTAATAGGTATGATTGATTTCTTTCTATTATTTGTTGATTTCCCTGTGATTCGACTTAAGTTAAAACATTTCTCAGCTTTTCTGACTTGGTTCATTCATAGACCAATAATTACAAAATCACTGACTCTTGATTTACTGGCTACTAATTGATTTTCTTACCTTATTTGTACAACCGTGTATTTCAAAATTTTGTCCCTTAAATAACTTTTTATGTATTTGCCCCTAATTGCATGTTTTACACAAAAGGTTTATTGGACTTCTTCCCTTAAGTAGTTTTCCCGTTTGAATCTGAATTTCTTAATTAAAGGAAGTCTCGTGTGATTGATTCTTAATTGATAATCAGTTCCTTAACTATTTCCTTACCTTATTTTTGCCTGATTTTCACACTATAAATGCACAACTCTTTCACAAACACACCATCACTGATTCACAATCTTTCTGAACTCACATTCATACACAATAGTATTCTCTCTTGTCTGCACTGTGGCCTGTTTACAAGACCTACTGCTTTTCTCTATTTATTTCTTTGAAACTGGTATATCTTGATTTAAGCTTTAGCACCACAACAATGTGTTTATTTACTGCTTTGTATCCGCGTCTACTTACTGTTTCTGTACTTGAATTAGCATGCTGATTTCTTTCCACCTACTCCTATTATGAATCCCAAAACCCCTGGCCCCTATGTGTTTGAGTTATGGTTTAAGGCGTGACAGTATTCAAATTATTGTCCATGAACTAAACTTGATCCCTCGGGATCCTAGCCTCTAATAATGTGTTCTAGTAGGCTTCTAGGTGTATCAGCACTCTCCATTGTTGGGTATACCCACAGCCTGCTTAGTCTTTTCAACTTCCCTATTCCCCATGCACCCCTATGTGTAATTATTTATAGTTGTTTCCCTTTCCCCCTTTCAGAATTATGTTTCTGCACTTGCACACTCTCTTAGTTCTTAAGTTTTGCCCCCCTCTTGTGAGCCTTGCCTTGGGACCTTGAGCTCCCTCTGAACTTGGACACTTGAGGGTTGGCCCTTCCACACTGCACTTGTCCTAATCCGATAATGTATTTGGGTGTGAGCATTGCTCGGAGTCCCCTTTGAGGCTCTTAGGGAACTTTAACACATCCAAATAGGAGAAAGGCTCTGGATCATGATCTCTTGGAGTTGGTTTACCTCATATTTCAGAAATGAAGCCTAAATCAGGCTCTCCTTGGTTGTACTTTTCAATTTTCTGATGCATTCTTTTACTTTTTTCTGGGTTGTAATAATTTGTAATAATTTCTTGGGGATGGCTAGTAAAAAGGGAGGGGTAACTATGTAAAGCGTAGATATCCTGCCTATAGGTATTTCTGAAATTCTGCATTCTCACATAGAAATCCTGCTTATAGGTATTCTGATTTTCTCACATAGATGCCATGTCTATAAGTATTTCTGAACTCTGCATGCTCTCATATAGAAATCATGCCCATAAGTACCTGGAAATCTGAATTCTGCATATGCATATAGAGAAATATGCCTATAGGTCCTTCTAAATCCCGTATATCCGTTCTTTATCTAGCAATCATGTTCATAGGTCTTAAACAAAAATTCAGCATCTAGATATCATGTCTATAAGGTTTCTGCATTCTTTACCATATCTATAAAGGGTTTTGAAATCGACAACGCATAGAAAGCATGTCTATAGAAATTATTAATCGAATCTGAATCGCTTTATTCACTTATAAGTCTAAAACCAGTAATGACGACGTGTCATCATCTGCAGAACCTATAACCCTTTTTGCTAAAAAAAACTTGCCTTTCTTTAATAATCTGGAAACCTTTCTTAACCAGTACACATTCAGTTTATTTCAATGCTTTCTGAATTCATTAGACACCATGTCCATAGGATCCTTGTCCAAGACATAGGCAAGCTTTAGGATAAAAATTACAAATAGAATCTGTTTTTATTAATCACAACCAGCAGGCAGGCCTGATTTGGGTTTCTTATCTGAATCATGTAGTAAATCAGTCTGCCTCAGCTTTTAAGTTCTTAATCAGACCCTAAATAGTATGTGTAAGTCATGCTAACTACGTGCTTCTTTGATTGAAGGAGGTATATCTGAGCCTTTTTTACTTGTTATGTGCTCCTCCCCAACTTGTTATACATGTTTTCGTATGTCGCCTTAGAATTCTGCCTTTGAAATTACAAATAAGCCTAATATCCCCCCTTTAGGATTAGTAGTCTTAAATACCTCTGGGACTGATAGGATTGGAACAGTAATAGCATGCAATAAGTAAACGAGATCATTCCGCGCTTTAATACCTTAATGGGGTGGGAAAGGGTATATATGGATATGATGACCACGCGATAACATCACGTGTAGTCCCTCACTGAGGAGTGATTACCGGATGTTGTGTGGGGTGATCCATATTATTAATAAACATAGGACTTCTCTTTCCCTTTGTTTCTTTGTTTCTTCTAAAGATTTCAAACTCTTTTTTAAGAAAAATCAGCTTTCTTTTAGTTCTTTCCGACTTTATTTGTTTATAAACCCTTATGTGAAAATCCCCTCTTATTTGAAGCTTTATTTGTTTACATGTTATTTGCACCTAGGTTCATAACAATAGTCTGTCCAGGAACCACACTAGTGGATCCTGAGGGGTGCCTAACACATTCCCCTTGGAATAATTTCAAGCCCTTACCCTATCTCTGGTTACTCAAATCAAACCCTCTTGGTGTCCTAATGCACCTTAATCATTAGGTGGCGACTCTTCAAATTCAAACCTAATTCCCAAAAGGGAATGAGTTGTCCTCCCAAATGTCATGAACCCGATTTCGCTCGAGAAAAAGGGGGCGCGACAGTAGTTAGAATAGTATTTCAAAATAATTGTTAGTATGTTCAAGTTAACAAAATTTTGTGTGTAATCGTTTAAGTTTTTAAAGATCATAATGTAGTTAATTTCAATTTGTTTCTGTGTTTGTTAAC